AAAAAAAAAAACCTCCTAACTTAACGTACAGGATATGGATCTCATTAATAATAAAATGTAATTGTGGGAGGTTTGCTCTTCTGAAGGTTTGTTACTAAAACTTGTACACTGCTCCTTGGGTTGATATGTCAACCCTCGCTTTCCTATTTTCTTCTTGTTGATCACGCGATAAAGTGGACGTAACCAAATGAATGTACATGTGCGATAGTTTCTGGGTCTATGGTTTTACTAACGTAAGAATTACTTGAACGTCAACATCGTTAGTCAAGCATCATATTTATTTCAAGCCCACCTGCTTCGTTTCTTATTGTTGGTCATGCCTGATTAGGCCTTCGGGTATTGGGTGTAAACTGGATGCGTGTAAGCGCAACGATATAGTACAGTAAACTGTCCTTCAGTTGTCCATTATTTCCTTGAAACTGAAGCTAAAGAAAGCTTTTTCACAACAGAGAATTTCGTTACGTATTATGTAACTGATAGGTTTTTCTACGATTAATAGAACTTAAGTCTTTCCTACCTGATGCAACCCAATCCGTTTGCACGGATTTCGCTCCACCGTTTCATTGATGCTTTTCTGAAGAGAGCTTCCCGCCATGGAATTGTTAGGTATTCGTCGAGAATTCCTGGTATCAAGAAGGCTTAAGCGGAGAGACATTTCTTTGTCATCGATTCCGTCCAGCTCGATGTACTCTGAATCGTCTATCGTCTTGCGCAGCTTTCACTTCTTCAATTATCACGCAAGGTCTTGTTTGCAGACGTCACGATGATCTTCTCGCGCTGTGGTTGGTTCATAAACTGTGAGTAGTAATGGACGCTTATATGGCCGGTAACCAATCAGGAGCCGAGAAAGACAATAGGCTATTGTTTGGAGAACAATGGATTCTATTGTTCTCTAAATCAGAGATGGCGCCTTGAAAAATCGGACCAATCAGGAGCCGAATTAAGAATTCAAGATGGCGGCGCACACGAAAGTCGGCCATGTCGGGAAACAGCCCACCAGCCTCGACGGAGGACCTGGGATCGGTCTCACGGATTTCCAAGGCAACTCAATTGTTAAAAAAAGTCGATACTTACAGTAGCCTGTATTCCTAAACGACAGAACTCCGTCCGGCAAGCGGCCATGATGAAGACTGAGAGACTTGGGTTCGACTCCAGGTTAGGCAGGGTGGTGCAAAGCAGGGTGGAACGATGACCTCATCGGAAACCAATCAGAGAATAGATGACATCAGCCTACATCAGTATAGACCCATTTACCTCGCTTTCATGCTGGGATTTTAATGAGATGCATCCAACTGTGACTCATGAAAATTCGTCTTTGTCTGGCAAGGGTGTCACGCGTCACGCAAAATTCATTTTAAAAACAAAGATTAT